TTTTATTCCTAAGGTCACCTTTGGTGATGAAGCTGAATCTGCGTCTTTCTCCATTCGACTTTTACCTCCATTTTTAAGAAAAAACAGCTTTTTGATTTTCAGCCGTGACCAGCAGCTGTTTTCTGCCTTCCTCTCTCCCTCCTTTCCTCCCAGGAACTGTGCGAGTCCTTCACAGTCCTGTGAGTGTCTTTCTCACAATACAGGTTTTTAAACCTCCGTCCCGTGTAATACGTAGAGAGAGAGAGAGAGAGGAAGTTGCCACATGGATGTAACAGAAATGGTAAATATAACTTACAGTGGTGGCATTTAGGAAACCGCCAAGGACTCCCAAAGGTGTGCTGCTGGTGATTAAAGGTGCATTAGGCAGCATTTAGAGAGGATGACTTGTTTCTGCGTGAGGTCATTTAACTGATGGGGTATTTTTATTCCTGAAACCCGCCTAGTTTTTACAGAGCAACATTTTTAGATTCCTGTAAAGTTGACCCAAAAACAAACATTAAGAAATGTCATCTGTTAATACGGTATAATTAAAATGTTGTTTCTGTGGACGTTTGTTCCCGGACTGAACTGAAAGAAATATGTCTGTGAATTCTGAGGTTTGAGCGGCTGAAATAGGCGCTCCACTTATTTTGGTGTTAATGCTGTTTTTTGTGCTCGACTTCTTAATGTGATGTATTTGTGTGTGTGTGTGTGTCTGCAGGTGATGCAGCTGCAGAAGGAGAGCGGAACGGCAGAGGAGCACAGTCTGGACAAGGAGGCGAGGAAATGGTCGAGCCGTGTGGCCCGAGAATACAAGTGCATCATCCACACACAGAGGGTGAGAAATATGACAGAGTCCAGACATAGATGCTTTTTTTGGATTTGGATTTTCAAATTAATATTGAAAAAGCATCTATTTAGGCTCAACGGCTGCTTTTTTTTTATTGTAAACATGCACTTAGGAAGTACACAAAACATTATATTTCCAGAGCATGAATCAAAACAATCACAGGCTTCATTGTTGGTATGAATACATAAATAATCCATAACAGTACACGAGAAAAGAAAAATGTCCTGCAAATATGCCATAATTTTTTGTAGGACAAAACTGATTTTAGCTTTTTATAGTTTCCTGGTAACGCTGGATGTAAAACAAATATAAATACATGGAAGAAACAAATTAAGTGATGATTTAATTCCTAAAAAATAACTTAAATTATCAAAATATTTGAATGAGCTCTTGTTGAAGTTTTGTCTTTGTTCTTCAGACGGTTATAAACTGTCAATGTCAGGAAGATTTTATACTGTGGTATTACCGTTAAAAAGGCAGCAGTTAATGACTTACAGACATCTGTCCTTCCTGACCTGAAACCTTATCTTTACCGTAAAAGTTGGTAAAGCTGCAGCTCATAAAAACATTCGGCATTCGGAAGAGAAAGACCGTGGTGCTACAAAACGTTGCTAAAACCTTTGAATGAAAATAGGTCGCAGGTTAAACATATATCACCAGAACCACATCACAACGGGAACCTGTTTTTAATTCAAGGAACAAGGAAGTGAGTCACCCCACCCCCCAGTCCAAAGTTAACCTTTTAATTCATAACAGTTTACCAGTGTTATTTTTTTTCCGTTAATAAATTTGGTTCACTAACGAACTTCCATTCTATGACGGAAACTAAAAAAATAAATAGTAAACTATGTTGGGTTGAATGTAATTAACACCTGGATAATGTATTTGAGAGTTTGATTTAAAAAAAATCGATTTAATTTATTTTCAGGTCCTGGAAGAATATGGGACACAGGACTCGTCAGAGCAGATCAGCAGTGAACTGGAGACGAAGATGGACGTGGCCAGACAGAGTCTACGGAGAGCTGAGGTGAGTGGCTGGACCGTGGGTGAAATTGAGGTGGCACTATTGCTCCACCTACTGGTTGTAAAGATTCAGTGACACAGCACAGCCCTTAAACCGCTGATCAATACAGTTTGATTCTGGCGATATTTTGTGCTGACAGACGAGCTGTCTGTCAGTCACGTCTCCTTAAGCAAATATTTAGGAAACATTTTTTCACAAAAAAAACTGTAGAAAAACGTCAGTTTGTCTCTTGTTTTTCAACAACCAGACGGTGAAGGTGAAAGCCGAAGCTCGTCTGGATTTGCTGAGGGAGGTGGGGGTGGCGGTGGAGACGTGGCTGAAAAGTGCGATGAACCAGGTCATGGAGGAGCTGGAGAACGAACGCTGGAACAACCTGAACACCAACGATCCTTCGCTCTCTGTAAGTAACTACCAACAGGGGTCGCAATCCAGACTTTTATAGAAAATACTTTTTTTTTTACCTGAAACCTTTCTCTAAGTGTGATTTTTTTTTGATGATGTCACAGTAACAAGGTCTTGTGCTGGTTTTTACTATGTCACAGTAACAAGGTCTTGTGCTGTTGTTGTTATTGTGGTGGTGCAGGGTACAGCAGATCTGGAGCAAGAGGACGAGGAGGAGATGGAGGACAGTGGAGAAGTGTTGGACGACAGCAGCTCCAGTCCGTCCAGCACCCTGAGAAACTATCCTCTGACCTGTAAAGTCCTCTACTCCTACAAGGTGATTCCAGAGGGAGCCATGTCAAACTCATCTTTTATTGGGTTTAAATTTGGAACATTGTAGCTTTTTTATTTAAAACAACTTTTCATTTCAAGATGTTGTTTTTTCTTAAATATTTTTTTGCAGAAAGCCAAATAAATAATATTGTTGTTTAAGTTCATTGTGTGAAAAATCAACTGTTTACTAGTTCAACTTTTTAGAATGACTCTGTCGCCCCCTAGAGGACCAGGAAGTTGCTGCTTGGTTTTATACTCTGGTATGACTTCATTGTCTCTCACAGATACGCTAAATGATTTTTCTTGGTTGTTTGTCGTTTCCAGGCTTCTCAACCAGATGAACTGACCATCGAGGAGCAGGAAATCCTGGAGGTCATCGATGATGGAGACATGGAGGACTGGGTGAAGGTACCAAAACCTGAATCTGTTGTTAATTTGTTAATTAATTTGTCTGACATTAAATTAGTTAAAAGATTAAATCAGTCAAAACATTTTAATTTGTCTGACATCAAATTAGCTAAAAGATTAAATCAGTCAAAACATTTTTGTCTGACATTAAATTAGTTAGAAGATTAAATCAGTCAAAACATTTTTTTAAAATGACATATTTTAGGTACAGTTTAGGAACCACTGCATATAGCTATGAGGAGTGCTATTCTACAGTACATGACCAACACTGCCCTCTGTTGGATTGTGCTACAATTAGCGCTTACAAATCACAACACCTTTCTAATCCAGTTTTGAATTTGATGTTTGAATTTAGTGTAGTTTAAAGATTTTCTGTCATTATCACTGTCCTCATCAGTGTTTTTTATTTTGTTTTAATTTTTGCATTTCCAGGCTAGGAACCGCAGCGGACAGGTTGGCTACGTCCCAGAGAAATACCTGCAGCTGCCGTCCTCCAACAGCCTGCTGAGCATGCTGCAGTCTCTGGCCGCGCTGGACGCCAGGTCTCACTCGTCCAGTAACTCCACTGAACCTGAGATGGAACTTCCTACTAACAACTCTGTCAACGGAGACTCCAGTGGTGAGAAAAAAATCTGTCAAATCAATGTTTAAACTTCAAAAAACCCACCAAACAGACTTGTTGTCTGGGCTAAGTCTTGAAATAGTTTTACTACCTTCACTGCTTTTTGGTAAAAGAAGAAAAGATAAACTAATTACTTTACCTCCCATGTTGCTCTAGTGTCTTTTGCGAAGGCCCTGTACGACTACGCGGGGCAGACGGACGATGAGCTGTCGTTCCCAGAAGGCGCCATCATCCGCATCCTGAGCAGAGAGACCCACGAGGACGACGGATTCTGGGAGGGAGAGTTTAACGGCATTGTGGGTGTCTTCCCAGCAGTCCTGGTGGAGGATCTCGCTGGTGGCAGTGAGAATGGAGACGGACAGAGGGATGGAAGTACGCAGGTACGACACTGCTCTCCTCTTATGAATGAGAAGTAACTGAAGTGATGTCTGATTAGCAGTGGGTCTGTGAGAGGAACCTGGTTAATGATGGTGAAACGTTTCTTTATGTCCTGTTTGTGTCCTCAAAGGGAACTTTGGCAGTTATTTTAGATTTCACCACAAGGGGGAGGCAATCGTTTCCAGTCATTTTAACTCTTGTCAACATTTCTTTTCTCCCAATGTCCACACTCTAATATAATCTAATATAAATGTCCCACCGTCTGCCCTTGTGTCCCAGGCCTCCCCCTCTCCTTTAGCTCAGTGTGACCGCTCCCCCCGTAGTCCCTTCCAGCCGGGACCCCTCCACAGCAGTCCCTTGCAGACGCCAACCATGTCCTCACCTCTGGCCAGCCCCTGCAGCGCTACAGCCTCTCCTATTGGTCGACCGCCCGCTTATCACAACGGACATCACAGGCCGCCACCTGCTCCACACAAAAGCCCTTTTCACAGTGAGAGCCACAAGTTGAAAGTGTTATTGTAGCCACAGTTAGCGTGGAAGCTAAAGAACTGTCCTTAAAAAGTTATTCTTCTTTTCAGGTCCAGGACAGGGTTCCCCTCAACCTCCCAAATATCCAGAGGGCTCGTCAGGCACCATTCGACCTGTGAGAATTTTTTAAAATTTGATTTCAACAGACAAACTTTCTGTTTGCAAATAAATGGCACTTACTTTATTTATGCACTCTGAATGTGGCATCTCACATTATTACAGTATTGAACTGAATCATTAAAAAACAGAAACTCTTTGTCTGATTGAGTCCTCCACTGATGATTATTTCCAGGTCCGCGCTGCTCCTCCACCTCCGAAGCAGCATCCTCGCGGTCAGGTGAAGAGGAGGGAGGAGGTGGAGATCACACTGGTGTGAGGATGGCAGCCTGGAGGCGGCAGCAGAGACGCTAGCAGTGACTTCTCTTCAAACCAGCAGAGGTTGGCAGCTTTGCACCTGTAAACCCACTCCCAAAGGAAACTTTGAAAAAAAACAAGAAAAGGAAAATGAACTCCCACAAAGAAAGCCTTTAGGCCGCTGTGACCTTCCACTGTGTCTCCACGGTGTCCACAGACGGACAAAAAGCTGTGGAGGAAGACTGTGCCTTTATTATTCTTTTTGGTTTTCACTTTTCCCATCATGCCTCACAGTGTTTGTTTCTTATTTAAATAAGAAAAAAAATATAATTTCTGTAGAAGAAATGCAGCTTATTATTGAGATATGGACATGGTATTTTTTCAGTACTGACCCTGTTTAAAAAGGAAATCATACGTAGATATGAACGCGTTTGTTTCCACATTGTAATCCTTCAAAAGGACAGTGCATTCACCTTTGTTTTTTAAACACCCAAAATCAACATCATTTCTCCATTTCTACGTCAGAAAAGATCAGTGCACTTTCATATAAAAGATGTTCAACTTGAGGAAAAAGTAGTTTTGTATTTTCCAGACTATACGTCGCTCTAGACTGTTATTTGCGTATATTAAAATAATGGGCTGTAAAGGCTATTTGTTTACAAAATAGCAAAAGAACAGAGGCTAACTAAATTAACATTAAAGGCTAACGAGTTTAACACGTTCTAGTCAAACTTTAAAGCCTTAAGCGCATCATTTTGAATTTTAAAAGTAAAAGTATTTTATGTGTTTTTTATGAAACGCTTAGTAATTCAAGACAGTGCCCCTTGTGGCATTAAAAGTCATTTAAGAATAAAGTCACAGGAACAAATAGTCCAGAAAATACGGTAACTATATCTAGACTTCAAAGCCATTGTTGAACTAGATAATTATTACTAATCGTCTCATATCAATAACCTTCAGCTCAAACCCAAACAAAACAAAAATCCCATCGTCTGGCTCCACCTTTGGGCGGTAAAAAAAATGCCAGCGTGAGGCGAGGCTGGTCCTCTCCGCAAACTCGTGAGCTGTTAGCTGCAGTCAGCAGTTACACAAACAAGGGAAGAGTGGCAATTTTATTTGAGTTGATTGTTGCCTCAGTAGTTTGGAGAATCTCCCAGAAAACAAAGCTAATAGAATTCTTTTTTTCTTTTGCCTTTCTAAATTCTCTTTCTTTGAGTTTTATTATTTCCCTTTGCACCAAATGTTAAGATAACTGAAGGGAGGGATGTAGTACGTATGTAGGTCCTGTCTCATTTATTAATCTTTACCCTTCTTGTGTTGTAAAAAACAATATAGAATTTGTTTTGATTCTTATGTTGCCAGTGAATTTCGACTGGTTTGTGGAGAAGTTTTTAGCCATAGATTGTATATTAAAAAAATGGACATAGCCACAAGAGAAGCCTTTGAAGTAGAGTGGTGAAACTGTCCCGCAGGTCTCCACCTCCCCATGAGATAAGATGGGAAATAAAGGCCACTTTTCAGGTGATTATAATGTCATTATACATTGTAACTGAAAAGCTGAAAGTTTGAATACAGAGTTTTCAGAGTTATTGAGAGGAAAAACGTTTTCCAGCTGTTAATCACATTTAAAGTCAAACTTTATCTGCTTTTTTCCTCTTAAAAGGATCTTTTTTAAAAGAAAAACTACAATTAGGTCTTGAAGAAAATGTGATTGAGCCAATTTACTCTTCAGTAGGATGTGTTGGGACTTAAATGAGAAGTACTTTAAGTTTGCAACCCTGTGGCTACGTCTTTTTCTTATACACACTCTTAGGTTTAATGGTGTCGTTATAATTAAAGAGGAAATGATCCTGAGCTGCTAGCTAGTCCGATTTAAGAGAAACTAAAATCTATACTGTCATAGTGAAGCACTTTTTGACATCTTCTTATTCCTTTTCAGTATTGTGGAGTCTGCATTTGTTTGTTCAGTATGTTGTTGTTGTTTACCAGCTATATTGGTATGAATACCTTTCTTTTTATGCGTTATTTAGCCTTAAATAGCCTTTGTAGTGTCGTTGGTGGAGATTTGACTTTCTTTTAATCCCGCTGTTGTTTTTTTTTAATATTAATAGTTTACAGAGAACTTGGAGATGGATATTTGTTCAAAAAAAATTTGTTTTTTGCTTTTTGTTTTTTTTTTCTCTTAGATTAGGATTTTAAAAAATGAACAGTAGTTGGATACGATCAGAGGAAAAGAGAGATATCTGTCAGCCACGTCGCTGTGTTCTCGTTGATCTCCTTGAGATCTGAATGACATCGAACTTATTTTTGAAGTTTGCATTTACCCTGTTGTATTAACAAAAAAAAGTTATATTAAAATAAAGATCTCGTTTTTTTTTCCCAACAGAGATGAGTATTTGTTAACTTGCTACTGGTCCTGATTCCACGTTGAAATCGTTTGAATCTATAATTCAGTGCCCTGGTTTTACAATGTAAGCTCTGCAGAGGCTGTTGGGTGTCATATTTACACACCAGTGGAAGTTTAAACTGTATTTATTGTGTACAAAATAAATGTGAAATAAAGATAGCTCACATGAAAGTCTCATTTCTCTTGATTTATCTACTGCAGACAAGTCTGGTTTGGACTGATTCAACGTTGGCTGTAGATTGTTTTAACCACAAGAAACATATTTTTTGTAGCTTTGGTTTTTATTTTTTTAAAACAAAATAACTTTTTTGTAGAATCCTATAGCTTTCAATGTAAAAATACACAAGTGAAGAATACCACACCCCGATAAGAATCACTGCAAATCATAAACCAGAAGATGGTAGGTCGTAATATAGGCCAAATAAACGTTCAGTAACCTAAGTTATATTTACAACTGATCAAATTTCAAATTTACCTTTAGTCTGACAAGTCAAACTATATCTAATGGTAATGAGAATTGTGACAAAACAAGGTGAAACATCTCCCATCCCCCCATGGCTGCCTTAGTAGACAAAACGAATTCCTGACGTTAATAATAATGTTTTGTAATATTATTAAACTTTATTCATAACTCTTGGCTTTATGCTCATATAGACATTAGTTGAATTATTTCGTATACTGCATAATTCCTGCAATAGTCGCAATAGTCTAGAAAAAAGCATAAATGAACGTTTTGAATTGAAGGTGTGAATCAAAGGTGACATTTGGTACCGGAAATTGAATTTAAAAAAAGATTAAGGGAAAATAGCAGATTAACTTTATCTTCAACAGAGACTTGATTATTTACTTATTTATTTATTTATCTCTTTAGTGGTTTTTTCTATCCATAATCTCGGTTTGGATGGCCTTTTATTTTTCAAAACCGGAAACAGCTATATTGATACTGGCTAGTTTGACGCTGGAGTGGAAAAGATGGCTGCTTCGGCGGCAACGGCGAGTTCTTCCCCCGGTTTAAGTCCGAATTACGCCGTGATTTGCTCCTTCTTGGAGCGGTACGGAGCGCTGCTGGACCTGCCGGAGTTTACTTTCCCCCAGCTGGAGAGATATCTGCAGGACACTTCATCAGGTTGGAACATACAACCCTCCCGCCGCTTGAATCATCACGGCACCGCGCTAGCAGCGCTAGCAGGCGACGTTAGCTGGCCGTGTGTTATTGTGTGCTTTTCTCCGCTCTTTCTTCACTCAAACATGGTTTCCCCGCCTTGTATAACCGCGCTTTGGGCTGTGAAACGGTTCTGCGTCTCATTTGACCACTAACCAAACTCAGAGGTGCTAATTTAGACGATGTTTTCCGTCACTTTTCAGCTTTTGAATTGGGCTTATTTTTTTCCTCCAAGCCTCCTGCCTTTTATCTGGTACTGCTATAACGCTCATCCTTTAACACACGCACACACACACAACACAAACAACACAGGAGACTGAGCGTGCTTCTGTAACATCAGTGTCCGCCAAGCGGCGACAAATTAGGCAGTTGACCGTGATTTCTGCTAGACAATCGGTAAAATGTCGTTGTGTGGGGCGGCCATGGAATTATTCACTTTATTTACACTTAAAATATCTTGTGATGTAGTGGCTTGGTTTAGCCCGTGAAGCTAATGTGTTGCAACGATGACTTCCGGTCTGAGTTTTTCTAAATATATTATTTTTGGCGCGCACGACATTGTTTTATCGAGTTATTGTTAGTCTAATTTATTTTTGTTCAACTTTTAGTAGTCCTTTAATTCGCGTCTGTGCCTTAAATGCTCTTTTAAGTCACCTTGTATGTCAATTAATGAATTTCACAAATTTTCACGTCACGTCAACGACGATCAATTTCCGTTTGTGCTTTTAATTATATTCAGCTTGACTGTTTTAATAATCAGATGTTCCGGTTTGCGCGTGCGCGGGGGTAATTAAAGTTCACCCCACACTGACGTCTGTTGGCTTTAAATTAATTCAATGGTTCTGAAGTTTCCCCGCTTCGACTCCTCTGTTGACTGGACTTGTTTATTTTAATATTTGGCAAATGCAAATAAGGCTTTTGTATATTATCTAAAATGAAGAAAAAATAACAAACATTGTTGACATAGTACATGTTGTTGGTGATTTCTTTTTTTTAAACCATTTCTCCTGATTGTACGGTGCAGTCTTTTATCTTGAAATGAAAATTAAAATGTATATACATAATTATTTCATTTATTCTCTTGTATATGAATGTAAATGGTACATACTGTTTTAATTATTAAATTATTAAAACCACACACACACATTACATAAATTAAACGAAAGAAAGTATATTTCAATGTTTTAACTGGTACGCTTATTATTTTTTAATTTTAACACTTTTAGAAATGCGTGTCAGTAAAAGTCTTCATAAAACTTTGGACATAAAGTATGTCACAAGGCTCATGCAGGTAACAAAATGAGAGACTCTTAGCAGAACTAAACAAATATAACTAGCAGAAACACTGAAAACTGTTTCTGTGCATCTTTTCCTCTTTCTGTATTTCTTATTTTAAATCCTGTAACATCTGTAGCTGTCTCATCTCTCCTCAGTTCCAAAGCTGCTGGTTGATCTTCATGTCAAGCTGCTGAGGAAAATCGGCAAGTCTGTGTCTGCAGACCGATGGGAAAAGTATCTTGTCAAGGTAACTGGTCTAATGCACTGCATTTTTATAATTCTTTTTTAACAGCATCTTTTAAATGCAATGTGATGTCATCACCTTTGAAAAATGTTTCATGTTGATGTAACATTTAACTATAAGGCTTGGATTTAAATAATTTAAAGAACCAACACCTAGATGGATGAACATCTACACAAATATGCTGGAATTATATTTATATAATTATATAGTGAAAACATTAGGCAGGATAGAGCTTCAGATTAATGTAAAGTTTCAATATTATTAATATAAATTTTAAAATGATGAAAGTTAAAGTAACTAAAAATGGTCGGTGGCATCTTCATTAATTCAGAAGTAAGAATAAAGATCCAAAGGATTTCTTTTCACTTAACAAACTTTGATTTATTTGGGAAAAAATATATTCTTTCTCCTGCAGCTGTGCCAAGAGTTCAACACAACATGGGCGTGGGAGTTGGAAGAGAAAGGTTACAAGAGCCTGACAACAGAGAGCAAGACGGCCATACTCAAAGTAAGAGGTTTTTTATTATTATTGTTATTATTATTATTATTAGCAGCAGCAGCAGCGTCTGTCTGATTCATTCATGCTCTCCTGGTAATAAAGCCTGGAAAACACAGTCAAAATACTAGTGAAGACAGAGGATGCATCTGCATGCATGTTTGTCACGTTGCAAGTTAGGGAAATCAATTCGACCTCCTCCCACTTTCTCTCACAAAGAAAAACATTTACCAAAAATACTAAGTAAATGATGCAAAATTAATTAATTAAAGTCTTATAAATATGAAAACAGATACACACAAATAATGGGGAAAAAGCTTGTGCTGCATAATTTGTACTGGTAATTTAAATGTGCCTCCAACTTTAAAAAGGTAATAATAATGATACATGAACAGAAGTGTGATATACTGTAGTACAATCAGTAGTGACAACAGTAGTTTTTCTTTTATGCTCCAGTATCTGTGCGAATGTCAGTTTGACGACAACATCAAGTTCAAAACCGCCATCAATGAAGAAGATCCAGATAAAATGCGCCTGCAGCCAATTGGCCGGGACAAAGATGGTCAAATGTACTGGTTCCAGCTGGACCAGGACGACAACGTGCGTCTTTACTTGGAGGAGCAGGACGACCTGGACGGCTCGTCGTGGAAGTGCATCGTCAAGTAAGAAAACAGAAACTTACTGTTTTGGAATGACCACAGCCAGTGTGAAATGACATTGTAACGATTTTTCACTTTTCTTCATGCAGAGATAGAAACGACTTGGCTGAGGTCGTGGCTCTTCTGAAGACGCAGATCGACCCGGAGCTGCTGAAAAGAGATGAGCTTAAAAAAGCTGAGGGTGAAAATGGTGGGGAAAAAGGTAAAGTTTTTGTTTTCAATTATCTCTTTATTTGTTGCTCTGTTTAGCTAGTTTTATTCAAACTTTTCTTTAATATAATGGTCTAAGTGAGATCAGGATGATAGATAATGATATTAATCATTTTAAAAAATGACAATTGAATACAAATATGTAGGGGTAGGGAAACAAAAAAATATTTTAAAAAGAAAGCTAAATTTAGCATTCATCTGTTTTCACTTGTGTCTGTGTATATTACCTTATCATGACTTTTCAGTCTACGCGGCTAGTGAGTTTTACAAGAATATATCATACTTTTGTCAACATCAAACTTCTGAATGTTGGTTAAATCTTTTCTATTCATTGTAACAGGTGAAGTTAAGAAGAACGAGGACACATCAGATGAAGAAAAAGACTCCAACAAAGCTTCCTGTCCGGTTTCACCAAAGACGGAGAAGGACGAGAAAGACTCTCAAAATGAAAAGTTGAAATGTGAAGCCTCCGAGGCCCAGTCGTCATTGAATGGTGTCATTGAAAGTAAAACCGAAGCCGATCACTGCTCAGAAAATAAAGGCACCAAAGTCCAGAGCATCAAAGAAGAGCCGATGGAGGTCACGGACACTAAGACAAGGACAGAATCGAGTGAAACGGCCTCGGATACGACCACTCATTCATTAGTAAAGGTTGAAAAAGAAGTGGAGACGAAGAAGAACGCAGCTGAGGAGATACAGCAAGCACTGAAGAATGAGCAGCAGAACAAGATACCCCTGAAGAAAAGAGGAATGAAGTTCAGTGAAGACTTTGAGAAAAGCAGCAGCAACATCGTGCCAACTCCACCAGTCACACAGGTCAAAGACGCTCCTAAAGCTGACGTGACTCCGGAACAGACAAAGAGGGTAAACGACCACGTCAACGGAGAAAGCCTGCCAGAGTCGGAGAAAGATCTACACTGTCGTCAGACGTTAGGAGAGCAGAAGACTGAAGCAACCGCCGTTAAATCCAACTTGGAGCTGAAAAAGGACTCACCGTCAACAGACACAGAAAGAACAGATCAAATGGACACGGCCGGCAGTGAACGTGTCACACAGGAGGTCACGTCGCACCAGGAGAAGTCCACGACCGAAGCTGTGGTGGGAGAAAATGATAGCGCTTCGGCAGCAGAAGAGAAAGAAGCTCACGAGTCTCCTCCACCACTGAAAGCTGAGTCACCACCTGGACCTAAAGACGTGGTTAATAATGCACCAGACAAATCATGTCAAGAAGAGGTTGAAAATATAAAACACAGCCTAGCCTGTGAAGTCGAGGCGTCTAATGGAAATGCAGCCACATCAACAGAGGGGGATAAAACATCCAAAACAGCTGAGACCGAGGAACAAAATCTAAGACAGGAAGTCACATCCAACAAAGCTGAGTCCAAAGACCCTGAAGAAGAAACATCCTCAGCTGACATGGAAACAGAGTCGGGTAAAACCCAGGAACCCAACACATCGGAGAAAATGAAATATGTCTCTGATGTTATAAAAACAGACGTGCCCAATAACACTGGTAAAGATACGCTGCAGCTTGACAGTAATGAAGCCAAACCAGAAGAGCCGCTGGTGAAAGAAACCCCAGAAGTCATCAAAGTGGCCGAGGCACAGTCTGACAGCAGAGATGATTCAAAGGAAACCCATGACACGGAAGCACCAGCTGTCAGTAAAGAGACAGAAACAGTGAAAGATAGCGACAGCAAAGAGACTCAGGAAGTCGCTGCTTGTTCCTCTGTCATTAAAAGACTGGACAAACCATCAGAGACGCAACCATCAGAAGAAAAACCCGACATTACTGCAGCGACCGAGACTTCAGTTATCAAAAAGGTTGATAAATTAGAATCATCTGCTCCTACAGAGAATGACAAAAACGACCTGAAGGGGACGCCAGAGAATGTCGATGAAGTCACAGATAAGACCGAGGAAACGGAAAAGCGTGAAGACGTAGCGGAAAATGTCAACTGTGACAAAGCTTCACTGCAACAGGATCTTAAGAAAAGTGACTCTGCGCCCGAGCCGATGGAAGTGGAAGGAGTCAGCGTTAAAGACGATCTGAAGAAGTCAGAAGAAAATGGTGATAAAACTGAGGCAAAAGCTGCTGAAACAAAAGAGGAAACATCAGAAGGGAATAATAAATCCAGTCAGGAAAAGGAGACAAACGTCCCTGAAGAAACTCAGGAAAAAGCTACAGAAAGTGAAAATCAGAAACCAGACGACTCACCAAAGGCAACAGAGATGGAGCAGGTGTCCTCTGAAAAGAAAACCGACTCTGAAAAGGAAAGTGGGAAAGGCTCTGAAGGTGAGAAATCTTTGAACGATAAACATCCCTGTAAGGACCGCAGAGAGGAGGAGGAATCAGCAGGAGATAAAGCCCCGAAACCGGATCAGTCGGACGAGAATAAACAAAGTGAAAATTCTGACAAATCGGAAAAAAATGAACTACAAGGAGCTGATGCCAAATCCTCAGCTGAGTCTGAAGAACTAAAGAGCACAGAAGTACCATCAAATAAAGTTGCTGACGAGGAAAACAAAAGCGGGAAAGAGGAAACAAGAGAAGATGTCAATGGCGATGAAGCGCCGGTGGATGTACCAAAGCGGGGCGGTCGACGGAGAACCAAACATTTAGTTCACCGAAGAAGAGCTGAACTTCAGCAAGAGGAAAGACAGGGAGACTCGGAGTCAGATACCAACACAGGGATGTCACTGCGGAGATCGCCCAGAATCTCCAGACCCACAGTGAAGGCAGTGGAGATCAACGAGAGGAAGGCGGAGAAGCAGCATGCAACACCAGAGAAAGTGGAGAAGAGTAAGGCAGAGCAGGGAAAAGAAGAGGAAGAGGAAGAAGAGAAGGAAGAAGAGGTGAAGGTGGTTCAGAAGAAGCCAAGGGAGAAGAAAGCAGATCAGGAGGGCCAGCCTAAACCTAAGGTACGACTGCTCACTAGGTGGCAGTGTTTACATTAAAAAACACAATAGTTTAAAAACAGTAAAATGTGAGTGTAATATTTTCACAATTTCTTTTTTTTAAGAGCCAAACAAACATTTCTCATTATTATTTAAAATTTAAGCACCAAAGTCAACATTTTTGGACTTTGTCTTATTACTTTTTGTTTTTAATCTCATAATTTAATAATTTTGTGACATTTAAATTTTTATTTCAAAGGTGTACATTTATTTTTTATAACTTTCTGTCTTTCTGTTTTAAATAATTTCTTTTTTGTGGTGTTGACCTTTCATTATATTTATATCTGACATTTTTTTTTTCTAAAGGGGAGGAAAAGACGGAAGGTCCGTTGGTCCAACACCCGCACACGTCGTAAAAAGAAAAGCTCTGAAGACGAGGAAAACAGTGACGAGGAGTCCAGTGAGGAGGAAGAGAGCGAGGAAGAAGACACCAGCGATGAAGACTACAAGGTGGAGAGGACCAAGAAGAGACGGAACCGGAACAGAGAAAGAAGGAGCTCGGACTCCTCCACGTCCTCAGACGATGACCTACCTCCGAACGACGACCCCTGCAAACACTGTGGTCTTCCAAATCACCCTGAGCTGGTGTGTAGACGACACTGCACATTTGTCAAACACATTATAAACACACTTCCAAGGTTGTACATATTTCCCTAACTGTTTATGTGAAGGAGTAAATGATTTACAATTTAAAATCTACATTTTTTTACAATATTTCCTCAGTTTTTCTGTTGGTTGAATTTATATAAGATTCAGTTTTTGATTCCTTTTCTAAATCTATTTTAAACCATGTCTTTGTATGAAACCTAACTTTCTGTTCACCTGTGCTGTGCAGATCCTGCTTTGCGATTCCTGTGACAGCGGCTATCACACGGCCTGTTTGCGACCTCCTCTCATGGTCATCCCTGATGGAGAATGGTTCTGTCCGCCCTGTCAGCATGTACGGATCAATCTAACATCACCACATTTGATATGGGAAAAACTGAAAGTCAAAGAAAAATATGCAAACGTTTAATGACTAAAATTGTTTTTTTTTTCCTCCTGTCTAGAAACAGCTCTGTGACAAACTAGAGGAGCAGCTCGTCAACCTAGATGCTGCTTTGAAAAAAAGGGAACGAGCAGAGAGACGGTGAGATGTCTTATCTTCAATCTGTGCCTCAACTGCCAGTAAACACAGTGACAGCCAACAGTAAATATGTGTTGATAATGTTAACAATTGTCTGATTTTTAAAAAAAATAATTTTCAGAAAGGAGCGTCTTATTTATGTTGGAATCAGCCTAGAAAACATCATCACGCCCTCGGTACGTACAAACCGTGTTCATGTTCAGTGTTAAATCATATCAATCAATCAAGCCATTAACCACTGACACTGTACAGGTGGAGATGGAGGTGGAGGAGGAGAAACCTCAAATCTTAATCAAAGAGAAGAAAGAGTCCAAGAAACATAAAAGCTGGGGTCAGAGGTCAACACGGACTAAAAGACCCATCAGCTACAGGTTTGTCTTCACTCCAAGACAAAGTGATACTCATTTTCTTTAAAAAAAAAAAGACAAATGTTCATGAGGGTTTACTCCTGCAGGGGGCGTTGGTCTTCTATCTGTCAAAATTTTTGTTAGAATTTAGTTTTGCTTGTTTTTTTTCTAAATTAATCTAAATAAAATTTTCTATTATACATTATATTTATGTTGTATTTGTTGTAGTTGTAATTTGTGCAGACATGTTTTGAATAATTCAGTGACTGATGTGAAGTTGAAGCTGATCATGGCTGGTTCTAATTTGAACTTCTGCAGATTTGATGAGTTTGACGAAGCGATCGAGGAGGCCATTGAGGAGGACATCAAGGAAGCAGAAGGTGGAGGTAAGAAAGTAAAATTAAATATTTACATCCCCCTTTTGCCAGTAACAAAACTTTTTTTAAAATGGAGTACTTTGGAATTGTGTTCAGGAGCCGGTCGAGGTAAAGACATGGCCAACATCACAGGCCACAGAGGGAAGGACATGTCCGTAATCCTTCAGGCAGACGAGGGTAAAGAGAACGGTCGACCGCCGCTCAGCACTGCCGCACAACGAAAGAAGAAACGCCGGCGACTGAATGACCTGGACAGTGACAGCACTGTGGATGAAGAGGAGAGCGAGGAAGAGTTCCGTCTCAGTGAAAGGTGAGTGGAAGCAATGAAACTGCAGCATTGACTTTCTTTCACTCTCCCCATAATTCATTTCATACCTTCTTTGACCTTCTTCTCTTCTGCAGCTCTGAGGAGGACTTTGTCGTCTCGAACAACGAGTCGGAGGCAGAGTCCGAGGCCGACTCCAACGACAGTGACTTCGGTAGCAAAGACAGTGGAAGGCAGCGGAAATCCTCGTGGAAACGGCAGCCGACGCGGCGAAGTTCCAGAAAGAGACGCAGGCCGAGAGGTTACTCGGACGACGAAGAGGAGGAGACTGATGAAGACGATGAGGAGGAAATAGGTATTTAGGTCACACGGGGCATCTGTCCACCATGTCACTGCAGTATAATCTCTGTCCAAAATGAGTTTTCCTTTTGGTCATTCTTCTTCCATCATTTATGTGTCTGTGCGTCCAGTGACTGAAGGCTCCAGTGAGTATAGTGACAGCGACCTGGACATGAGTCGGAGACGGTCTCGCCGCAGCCAGAAACCAACAGTGAACTACTGTGAGACGTCAGAGTCGGAAGGCTCGCAGCCCAGCGCCAAACGTCCCAAACTTAAATCCAGCCGTCGACCCGAGAGCTCAGACAGTGAGGGTCAGTCAGAAGAAAACGTTCTCATTGTCAGCTTATTACTGTTCCATGCAGTATCACATTTGAATGTGGTAAAACAGCTAATTTGAATTTACAATACTAAATAAAAGAATCAAAGTAGATTATTAACACAAATGTCGCTGCAGGATAAAAATTCAGATTCTCTGTTAGACTTTGGTGTAGGAATGTAGCTTACAAACTCTCAACAAAAAATGCCTTTGAACATACTAGAGCCAAAGAGTCGTTCGTAAGACGTGAAATGGTTTGTCAATTGTCTAACATCTCCATATTGTGTTTTTTCTTTTCCCAGTGAGTTTCAAGGACTCTGAAGAGGAGTCCAGGGAGGAGAGAGTTAAGAGGCGAGCCGACTCCTCAGACGAGGACTCAAGGCAGCGACGCAGGCGTCTGGCCCTAAAGCGCAGAAGAGCGTGGGAGGACGCCGACTCGGAGGGCTGGGTGGGCTGCGGCGCGGTCGGGCGACTCCTCCTCAGAGGACAGACCCGTCCGCAAACGGGTGAACCGCATTGACTCGGACGATGACGAGGAAGAGGAGGAACAAGATGAGAAACCAAAGGAGAAAAAAGCAGAGGAGTCAAAGGGGACAGACTCACCGGACTGCAACACAGCAGAGGAGGCCCCCACCAACGGACAGAGCCAAGTTAAAAACCTAAATGCCACGTGTTCTCCTCCCGCTCCTTCTTCTCCTGCTGTTGCTCCTGTTGTTGCTGCTGCTGCTGCTGCTGCTCCTCCTGCTGCTGCTCCTCCTGCAGCACTCCTCCCAAACCTGGATCAACCCAAAACCATCAGTGCAACACCAGCCTCTACTGCTGCTGCCCCGAATGGCCTTGTTGGCCAGGAGATGCCAGCCCAGGACGAAGATGAAGACGATCTGTTAGGAGTCACAGACCTCGTGGACTACGTCTGCAATAACGAAGAGTTGTAAAAAAAAAACAAAAAACAAAAAAAACCAAGAAAAATGTGCACTGTTTCATTTTTTTTGTGGTATTGTATTTTTATATTGCTTAACTTTATTATTCCTACCGAGGCCCCTTCAAACACACACACACCCTCATCGTCTTTTTTACTCGCCTGCAGCTCATTTCTCCTCTAACGCAGTCAGAGTGGACTAGTGTCATGCTGTCCCTGTGGGATTGTACCGCTGCAGACCCCTCCCCCCAGCTCTACTGCCAAATAAACCTTGCATCTCCACCCACAACTTTCACAATCACAAACTCTGCTTCGTCGCCCATCGTGATCAGTGTGTATTGGAGAACATGGGAAATCATTCTGTGGCACGAAGTCTGGAGATCAAACATACATTTGATTTCACTTTCATTCCTAAACTCTTTGGTCAAACTAGAAATTTCACAGTTTTACTTTCCTCAAATGATCATGGAATTGTGTTCTGCTTTAAAAAGGTTTATTTACAATAATTTTAGAAACAATCATTGTCCTTTCAGAGGGCCTACCTGTGAGGTAGCATATTTTGAATAGCATTTCTGCCACCTAGTGGTGAATATTTTCTACTGGTAAATATTTTTCACCCAAGAACTTTAGCAAAGGCAAAGAGAAATGAGAGAAAACATAACCAGATGGCAGCCTGGCTGCTGGTTAATAAATGTCTGTATGACTATAGTTCAAATTCCTGCATACTCCACATTTAGCTGTGAATTCTACAGTTTTTAGAATTGGTTTGTGCCTGTGACGATATGGCTTGGTGATGATGGAAAACAATATAAATGTTTTTTTGTTTTTGTTTTCTTTGCTGTTGGCAGGTCAGAGAAATGCAACACTAAGTTTTGATGAGTGGTGGCGATCTTCTCATCTCATTCTTCCAGACATTTTCAAAAATATCTTAATCTTTCTTACACGTCCTGAGTGAAGTTGAAACTATTTATTATTGGAGGAAAATAATCAGTTTCTACCAAACAAAACAAATCATCTTTCTTTTTTTTAAATTCCTGAATATTTAAGTGTTATCAACATTTTTCCTGACATGAAGGTGTGAATGTAAATCAGTGACCAATCCATTTGCCCTGGAAGCCTCCAGTTCATCTTTAGTGTAGCTTTTGTACATTGTTTTAACATAACAATAAAATTAATAAGTGGTCATTTTACTATGTGCACTGACTTCAGCATCAGTGCTGAACTTCTGACAAACAATCAAACAGTCAAATCGCAACTTTTAGTCTAGCTTTCCCTCATCTTGGTCTTGTTACTTTTGTGACTATTATTTTTTTTAAACAATAATGTATTTTTTTGTATATCATAACGTGTACTGTTGTCTGAAAATGTAAAGTGGTTTATTTTTTATTTTCTTTTGTACATTGCAAAAAATAACAACACTCATGCTCCAAAGTTAACCCTGTCACATTTTCTGTTTTAATTCTTTCTGCTCTTTATGTTTAAAAATCTAGTTTCAACCAGATTCTGTCTCCTTAACTTGTAGTGGAGACAAATTGGACAGAAAGAGAAGAAAAACATAGAGTGACAACGAGTCTTTTGTCCTCGGCTGGATCCTGTCTGTGTATATCTAGTTTTTCTTGCTGTATTATAAATATTTAGAGGCATTTTTTCTATATATAAAAAAAACAAAAACAAAAAATATACCTGTATATGGGGCAATTCTTTGGGATTGCATGAGTTTCTAATTGATTTCTTTTGTAGAGAGTTAATATTGGCTCAGTTTTTTTTTCCTTTTTGTAAGATAACCAGAAAACTTTGGCATGTGGATGTGTGTGTGTGTGAAAGAGAGAAATACGGAGCAGAAAAGCATGAACTGATGTTAAGGTTTGGTTCGTGGAGGAATGTGTCAGAGTAAAAAAAAAAATCTAAATCTTATTTACGGGGAAAAACGTAAAATGTTTGTGTAAATTCATGGCAGCATGGTTTTCACAGGATCGACCGCTGTTGATACTCAGACCCCAATGTGACGTACAGGCAAAACAGAAAAAAACCGTTAAAGTTTTTAAGGTTAGTCGGTTTAAAGAAGCCAAAAGAAAAATATGCGTTTTTGTTTTGTTTGTTTTTTTGTTAAATTTTCTTTACATTGAACACGACGGTTATGAAATAACCGACTGTAAACAGGAAAAGAGAGAAATTACAGGTGGTGACGGTACATTTTTAAAAAAAAAAGTTGATGTTAGTGCCAATGAGACAAGTGTTAACAGTTTCCTCTTTACCTCATAACGACTGTAGGACGAAGGACGTTCTGTCCTTACACTGTGGACGCACACACACCGGTGGTCCACGGCTCCTCGCTGTGTTTTTGTTAACTTGACTCTTGTTTCCTATGGATCTGCTCTTGTACATTTGTCATAATAAAACAGCTTTGAAGCCTCACGTCCACTCGATGTGGTTATTGCTACCAACGTCAAACCGTTTTGGGGCTTTTTTTAGCTTCTAACCCTGGGCTATTCCTTTACCTGTTTAAAGCCCCTCGGATGAAATTTTTAATATTTGGGGATGTTTTAATATTAATATATTATATATAAATAATAACAGTTATTTGTGTTGTAGGCCTTTATATTCAATACATATAGGGTATTAAACTTGTAGGTGTAATTCACCTATCAGATTAGTATATACGTACATTAATCTGATGGGTGTAATTCACCTATCAGATTAGTATACAGTTGTTAAACTGCATTCTAGTTTACGGTATATATACACACACGACATTTTCTGTATTAACAGTTAAAATGTATAAAATATATTACTTATTCATGACAAAGACGTACTTTATTCCAAGCGAATACTGATTTTATGGACTAGGATAGACGAAGATGCGTAGATCAGTGGGGTACAAATCAGACTGAACACCGGACGTCACGTGATACTGAACAGTACATAACACAACGTGATAGGCTAAATTTTACTTTGTATATTGAAATATTGAAGCAGTCAGGGCGGACAGATTATCAGGCATGCAGTAGCCTGAACCATGAACGGGTTATAAATGGACACAATCTGGTTTTGTCAGCTGTATCCTGGTCTGGAGTCTAACCGCGAAAGACGACGTTGTTGTCACCGGAAGGGTAAGTGTCACGTCATCTTAATTACGTTAATGAGCAACCAGGAGTGTAACAAACTGACTAGTGTCTGTGTGACAAATAATTAAGTGTTTTAGTGAGTTTTTAAAGACACTACGTCATATGTATAACTTTATGATAAATAAGAGTTATCGGGGACGTGTGCGCGTACACGGCGACATAAAAATATATTTTTTAAAATTTGTAGCAAAGCTTATACACGTGACTATACATATTTCTATGCAAATGACTGCACGTTGCTCTATACTAAGTCGCTTTTTGAGTAGTTGCTGAAATACGAGACACAAGAACTCAGTAATAAATTCAAACTTGATTTTTAATATATATCGGTCACATACAGCCAGATTTGTATTGCAACAAATGTCCAACTGAGTAGAATAAACAGTCATATCTATTTTGTATAACACTTCTAAAATTAATTATCAACAAACATTACATTACATTACAATGTAATGGATGTAAGGAACTTATCAAGTGTCATACAGAGAAACAGAAAACAAGAAAATGTTGAGGAAACTAATGCAGAGAATAAAGAACAGATTTCATGTACCAGCTGATATTTTGAACCTCAAACACTGCACAAAAGAAAAAATAAATAAATAAAAAAACCCTTAACAACCCAGTTGAAACAGTTATGTCATAATTTTTAATCTGGTATTTACACATGAAATGCACAGAAAGAGGTGGAAAACAAGTGTTTGCTCCAATTTTAGGCTTGAAGCTGTTAGTGATATGACAGTTACACAGTCAATAACACAGTTGTCTTTGTTTGTGAGGTTTTAGTGTTTAGTCCTTGGCCTGTTGCTGGTCAAATAAAACTGTTAAATGTCTTTTCGCAACTATTCACATAAGTGTGTGCAAAAATGTGCAGAAAAAAAGTTCCATGAACATCACAGACACGTATGGAAATATATGAAATAAAAGTACTTTTTTCATTATTATATTTATTTTGTTCCAATCAATCCCGTCTGGGACTGAGATTTCTTAAAACTTAATGGTCCCTATGAAATTTCACATTGACACTGATCATTTTCAGGTCAAGAAGGCTGTAAGGTGTATTTCCCTGGTCTTCAGCCTTTGATTTCTTAAGTTGTGCTTAGTTAAGACAAAGTCTTAGCATGAGGAAGAAAGTTGTTGGATGTTATTAAATAAGGTTTGTGTTTAGTGTTTGGAAGAACAGCACGTCTGTTTAAATGCCCAAAATATTATTACAAGTACTATGCTACATGAAATACCTGATTTTGCTTTTGAGGTTGCTGCAGTGAGACAGGCGTCAGATCTGGCGTTAACCACAGACTATAGACTAAAGATGACGATCTTGTAGAAGTGAAGCCGTGAGTTGTTAAAGCTCACTTGGTTTCAGATCGTCTTTATTACAAACATCACGTCAAATGAATAAACACCACATAAATAACACCTGAGTTTTTCTTTCACATTTAAACAGAAGTTTGTCTCAGTCTGTAGACTGTTCATTCACAGTACCAAAGTCCATAGAGAAAATAAGGGATTTAACGTAACTGTAGACTGTAGGTGTTTCTGAGCCACTGCTGCCAATATTTGTAAATATTAATGTGTCATTCATTGACTGTCATCTGAAATGATTTGTTATACTTTAATTAACTGAACTTAACCTAAAACAAAGGCATCAGCAGAGTAGAACCTGTCACGTCTTGGGGCGGGGTTTTAATTAAACATTTTCATCTATTGACATTGGTGTGTGGGAGAGTTTGTCAAACTCCTGACACCAGGAGCAAACATTTAAATAGTAGCTGTGAGTGTTTTCCTATGTGAGTGTGTGTTTGCAGGCCTGTTTTTTTTTTCTTTAAGCAAATCTTCAATGTTTGTAGTTTTCGACCTGCACAACAGAAAACAGCTGTAGCTTCAAACTGCAGCCTTTTAAACCCTTAAATCCTCTTCATCAGCTGAACTGGAATGATTCACAGGAGGGGACTAAAACCTTGGTTCCCGGTTACTGCATCTTGGATTTGTGCGCAGCTGTAGCGACGTCCTGTCCGACGCTGCTTTTACCAGACAGGAACGGAAGTATCTTGTCCACTAGCAGGACGCAGCTCGCAACACCTGGTACCAGAAGTAGAGAACAGATTGCTATTGTGAGGATTTTATGGTTCTCAACAACTAAAATGGGCAGCTAGCTAAATATAGTGCAGAGCTCTATCACTGTGAGGAGCTGTACACTTCCAAGTGAGTGTGAAACAATGTTTAGGACAATACAATACAGAAGTTAGTTTTAAAAGAAAATTTCACAGATGAGGTTTATGCTACAAAATGTGGCAGTTTACATCATTTTAACAATCATTAATTTCCTCCGCTTATATCTGGGTCAAACATCACCTGTCACCTCTGCTCCTTACCTGAAGCTGGTCCTAGCCAGTAGACAAAGCAGTATTCCAGATAGGTGTGCCCACTGCAGGGGAACTGGATGGCGAAGGCTAAGACAGGGTTCAAAACAGACCCTGAAATACTGCCAACTGCAGGAGAGTGAAGGAAAAACAGAAGAAAATGAAGGCTGGTCCAAGTTACATGCATTATGCAGTTTGCATTTATACCTAATGGGAATTAACTGAAAGAGGATGTTCCTTTTACAGTGTACATGCTAAAAGGTTAAATAAACGCCAAAGGAAAGGAAACAGTATTTAAGTAAAATTATAATATCCTTGATCAGAGCAACCCCAGAGGTGGTATTTTGTTAAATACCTTAATGAATCACCACTTAGGGCAGTAGCTTGAAGCATGTCAATAGTTTACAATAGTTTTCCAGAAACCGAGGTAAATATTTTTAATTTAATTTTACTCCTCGTTTGGTTCTTAGATCTCCTCTTTAATTGTTCACTGACCTTTGGGCATTTTTTAAGTGATTATTTTTCAGAAAAAAAGGTTTCTGTGGTTTTAGCTGTGCTTTAACTTTTATCTGAGTCTTCTTCAGGGTCTCACTCTGACCAAACCCGCCACTAAAGTATTATTGTGTAAAAAGGTACCCTAAAATCTGCCGCCTACAGATATTAGTGCAATATATAATATTAGTGGAAAGCAAAACAAACACATTTGTTTGCTTTCCAACAATATGAACAGATGTATAAGTCAACCTATGACTTATAACCTAGGGATGTAAATGTAAATGTAAAATTAAGATATTTATTACTGCACATCCTTAACACAGTTAACTTATCATGTATATTCAGTTAGTTTAAACATTTTTTTAACCTCTGTTTTTGCATAATATTTGAATATTTGACTTTATTTTTTGGCATTTTGTTGAGCAAGCAAATTGCGGATTAGTTGAGAAAATACATATGCCAAGTTTTTTTTTGTGATGACATCACAATGTTTGCCTTGCAAATCAAGACTATATGTATTTTAAAGGCTATGCTGCATGCAGTTAATTCACTTTACACGACATGGCATTTGTAATGATCTTTTGAGCACGTTTTAAGCGATTGTCAATAGTTTTTGTACTTGGCCGTTCACATCTACAAACGTTGACCAAAATCACTAACTGGCAGTTTTTGTTTTGTTTTTGTTTTGTTTTTTTTGCAAATTAATGTCTGAAATATATCTTTTATGAACCCTAAACGAACGTTTTATGTCACACTTATGTACCCTGACCCAGTGTTTGGATGGTTTTGATTAAATCACAGACCTGCGTAGCTCAGAGTAGTGATGAGAGTAGCAATGCAGAACACTCGAAGTTTCGCGTCCACTTTGTGGAGATTCAGCACCACGGCTTGCATAATGAAGGCGCCCACCAGCTCTGCTGCCGCGGCTTCCAGCAGCGTCCCACCCACTGGATCGAAACACCTAGTCCCAAACTTCTGCTGCCGGACGTGGACGTCGGAGAGACCCAGCGACCACACGGAGGCTGCGAAAAACTGCGAGGCCAACGCGGCAGAGAACTGACAGGCGATGAGGACGACAGCAGCCCTACCCGAAATGATACCCCGGTACACCCGGTCCAGAACCCCGACCGGGTTACAAGCTGCTCCCCGGAAAGTAGTGAGGTGGACGACGGTGATTGTGTAGGTGAGAGTGAGTGCGATCAGCGGCTGTGGTTTCAGGTTGGCCTTTTCTGCCAGCAGTTTGAGCTCCTGGGAGCAGCAACACAGCTGGAAAGTGGACGCTGCTTCCAGCAAGTAAAGCCAGGAGGCTCTGGCGAACAGCCGAGACGTGATGCGACGCGTGGCTTCACTCAGAAGAACCGCGGCGACCAGCACCGACAGAGAGATCCACAGGTCGATCATTGTTCTGCGGCTGTTCAGCGACAGAGAGACGGAGTGACCCGAAGGACAAACTCGCTGCTGTTTCACGAGTGACTGAACTTTACTTTAAAACTCTCCTCTGTCAAATACTACCCAGACGGAAACGGGGCAGGGCCAGCCTTCAAAATAAAAGCGCGCCAGTCAAATCCAACTAGGGAAATAATGAGGGCCACAGGGAGGTTCACCGATACACAATTCACAGGTTATATATTTTCGAGATTCTGATCTTTGTTTTCTCGGAATTTATAGTAGTTTATATTACTATATTATTAATATATTATTATATTAATATATTATTTATAGTAATAGTGTAAGAGAAATCTTATATAGCTATATATTTTTCAGTTTTTTTCCAACTTTTGTCCAAACTGTAATACTTTTATGTGGTCTCTATATAGGACTATTTTGCACAAAAGTCATTAAATTGAACATTTTCCTTTTCCCCAAAGTTTGTTTGTCAGGAGTGAAATTAAATATTGCGTTTTTCCGTTTTTGACTTCCAATGACAAATCTTTGACTACCATTTGATAGTTTTCTGTTTTTTGTTCAATAAGGGTTTATTTTGAAGGTCTGAACAAGGAATAGAAACATTCATTCTCGGTTTTTTTGCCTCAAGGTGAAACAGTAAACTTGACTAACTGGAAAATAATTTGACAGTTCAAACTTAAGAAAAACAAGTAGCTACTAAAATGTTTGAGCTAAGGTGTATTTCTATAGATTCGTCTGTTGTTTCATGTTGTTTGCCTCAATTTCCAACTTAAGAGCCTATGTAACTAAATTGCTAGATAATGAAAGACCAACACGAATCTTACTGACAACACACCCCGCAGGTGTAGGAAAAACCCCTCAGGACAAAACCTTTGTTGCCCCTTTTTTTGCAGATGTAACCTTGTGTCAACTGTGGAGGTCTGAAATTGCACACACACACACACACACACACAAATTCCTTATTAAGATATGATCCCAATACTAGTAGTAGTATCCAAACCAATTCCCTTATTAAGATATGATCCCTATACTAGTAGTAGTATCCAAACCAATTCAGTGTCTCCAAAAGCCCTTTTGATCACACAAAACAGTACTCAAATGCAAAAATATTTTATCGCAAAATGTGTCTTGAATTTTTCACCTTTTCCTCAAAAACTCTGTTAATGATATGAACCTAAAAGTTAGTTAGTCTAAATTATACTCATGTCAGGTTAAATAACATAAAGTTTTGTTCCGTTTGCTCATAGAATACCTTCAGGTATTATTTGTTATTACAGACATTGCCCCTAACTCTACATTTGCATTGGTAGTTTAAGAATTTTCAAACAGGATACTAAACATGGTGATTTGAGTCGTTCTGCACATCCTGTACAAATGTTTGTTTATTTCTCCTTTTTATTAGGAGACCACTATTCCCCGGTCTCCTGGATTCACCTGGTGATGCGTCTGATTTTATCACCATGGCAGGTGACGGTCGGTGATTTGGTTACCGGTAGTTATCGTCTAGAACAACAGAAATGCTGGTTATTATAAACTAACGTTCGCATTATTTTCAAAATAAAATATTGTTCGCATTTCCACAGCGACATCAGCGTGCAAAGAAACGCCCTAGTTTAATTATTTAAAGTATACTTTTGAACTATATTTGTGAAATTGTAAGCAACAGATAAAAGAAAGCATTAGTAGGCTCTTCTCGAATTGGGTTTATACACAAACTGATGCACCTTGTATTTTTACGCTTTTCTTTTAAGGGTTCCTCCGATCAAGCTCTTGTTATTGTGAGTAACTTGACGCAATGTTATCCTGCCCGAGGCCACTGGTTTGGACCGCGTTACCCGAGGAAGATAAGCGGTCGGCGGCTACACCTCTGGCTTCTCTCCGCTTTAAGAATTCAAAAGGGTAAGAAAAGATGTTAGCATTAAACAAACATGCAGAAAGACGTTGATGTCTTTTATAAACGCTGCTGTTCAAACATGAACTTGATAATAATGAGTCCGATTTCCTCTTCTGGTCGTTTGATAACACCAGAGTGAAATGTGGTGTTTTAAGAAGATCGTTTTTCGCATTGGAATGATTGGAATTAGATGAAGCAAAGAGATTTAATTACTGAAATAGTTTGCTGACTTAAATTAAATCAACTTATTATATATTAACTAAATACGTAATATGAAAACAAAGTGGTAAATGACTTCGTACAGTGTGGCACGTTGTGTTCTTCCCGTATACAAGCTGTAGACAACAACATAAAGGACCCGGTGGATTTGGACTTAAAACCAGAACACACCGTGCCATTGTACTGTGCGATGTTTTACTCTGTTCTGTAGGCAGTAAAATCTGTATTAATGCGGATAAACTGCAGTTCAATGGGTTTCATTCTAAAAAAAAACATAATTCCCTGAAAACTGGAGGAACAATGGAACAAGATTCCCATTGAGAATTTTCGATCCAAGCATTTTAAATTTGGGAATTCACTAATATCAGGTCATCTTAAATAATTATATATTGTGAATGTTCCTGTTGGAATTTATCTGTCATTATTTTTGTTTGTTTGTTTTTTTAGGTTTTGTGATGCCAGGTGGTTTCAGCTGAGTTTAAACCATGGCCTCCACCTTGTCCCAGTTGCAGTTTGGTCGACTGTACGCTGTTCGTGCAAAAGTCCTGCGGCGTTACAAACACCATTCTTTACTGTGGTGTCTGAACGGGCTGTACGGCTGCAGATGGAGACGTCAGGAGAGCCGTACTCAGCCAGGAGACTGCTGCTGCAACAAGGTCAGGAAACGTCCAACACGAGAACATCTGGAGAAACCCAGATCTGCTCTGCATTGTCAGTCTTCCTGTCAATGGTGTCATGTCAAAAATGTTTGGCTGACATCCCAGGATGTTGCCAAAGGACATAGAGAAACATTTGCAAAAGTAACTGACACAACAGTTTATGACAAATCTCAAATAAAGTTTGTCTAAAGTCCGTCAGCTTATCCTCACCCTCCCCCACTCTTCTTCTGGGGTTTTATTAAACAACATATTTTTATTCTTTACCTCAAAGAATAAAAACTTTTCCCCATTTCCCCATTAGTAAACTTCACAAGGAACTCTCACGAGGTGCTTTACTGCACCCTAGTGGTCATTTCACAATTAGTAAACTTCACAAGGAACTCTCACAATCGCAAACATTTAACTATTCCTTTAACATGATTAACTTGACTATCTTTAATCTCCGCACTCTCTATACTAAAAAAGTGATGTCTAGTCGTTATTTATTATGTTCTTCGTTTTCTGTGTGAAATGCCTTTTTTAAATATTTAAATCAGAAGTTGAAAAAATGACAAAAGAAATTAAGAAAACATTAAATATTAACACAGGCTGAGGTGCTCAATAATACTGCAGTATAATGTTCCACAGAAGAGTAACAGACAGTAAATACTGTTCAACGGTGTATTGATTTCTCTCCTTCAATTATTACATCTTAGCATCAGTGGTTTAACAGTCGTCAGGTCTAAATATTTGTCGTCACTGTAACAGTAAACACACACACAAACACTGACACGGAGTCACACCTTCAACCTCGTCACATAAAAACTCCTCCGTCTTGACAAGGTCAAGGGTCAGCGCCCGTCTCCATGGAAACCAGATGATAAATGCGTCAGGGACCTTGTGCCTCAGATTGAAGTGCAGTGCGATGTCTGTCTTACACCACTTCTTGTTGTTGACAGTGTGAGGGCGTCAGCTCTGCTCTGCTGGTGGCAGCCTTTTGTCTAACTCTGGTGTTTCTCTACTTCTGGGCGCACGCCAAGAACGACTACAATGACTTTGACTGGTGGGTGTACAGCAGCAACAGTCACACCGGGTGTAGGCTGCATGTCTTTAACAGCGCACGTGTCACAGCATGACTGGGCTGACCTGGGGAAACCTGGGAAACCTGGGAAAACCTGGGCTGTGGTGTGACATTAGTGACATTCTTCCTTCTTAACGGCTTTTCTCATCGTGACTTTTATTATCCTGTCACAACACGTACGTAGACGAAGGATGAGCTGAAGGTTGTGGTGACTTTTTAAAAAACAGATTTTTGCAATGCCAGTGGGTTCCCTGGAATTCAAATGAGGTCGCCTGAA